ACAATATAAATAAATGTAGCAATTTTATGTATTGAGCAGAAATTCTTTATTTGCTGAACAATATCACATTGAAACTTTACTCTTACTGCTGACAGATGGATAATGATACAAGGACAATCATCATCTCCGTGGTAACAGTGTAAAATATGTCAGAGGAACATTGCACATGGAACTGCTGCTGCTTTTTTTTACAGTCCTGCCTCGGCTTCCTCAGTTATATACTCTTTGCAAACCCAATATGCCCAGAGTACAAGTCAACCAAGGGCAACTTCAAGGCTGCAGGCATAAAGAGAACTAACGAATTAATTGTGTCAAGTTCTAATATTGCTGATTAAATATGCCCTTGCCGTACATGACACAATCTCGAATGTCTCACAAAAATCCACTATTCTTGTAGATCACTAGTTAACTTTTTAGAATTTGGGCAAACATTTTTTAGTCAAAAACCCTGCTGTAATGCTTGGAATTTGAACAAATGTTTTTTATACCAGTAGAAAAAACCCTGCTGCGATGGTTGTTCTCAATATCAACCTATGATTCTAATTTTTCTTTACATGCATTCTCAGCAGCAATAATTATTGAAATGAGTCCCACCCCCGAAATAATGTTGCCATTTAAATGCAACATAACAGTTCATTTAGTGACCGTTCAAAGTTACAAGAGCACTGAAAAATGTGATTTATAACCATTTCATCATAGTTAACTTTGCAGCATCCCCATGATCAGATGCTTGGCAACTGGTTCATATTTATGACCTTTGCTGTGTCCAGGGTCATCTGATCACCTTTTGCAATGGGGAAAGCCAGATTCACTTAATTGTGGCAAGAAAAAATGGGGCAAAACTCAATAAATGCCTCACTTAACAACATAAATTTTGGCTCAGTTGTGGTTGTAAGGTTTTTCAACCTTTTCACCCATTGTATCACTTTTTGGATAAGGCCATATCCGAGTACCACCACTCGCCCAGCAAGGTATCAAAAACTTGACCCAAAAAAAAAAGGAAAAAATGAGAAAGTACAGGTAGTCCTCGACTTACAACAATTTGCTTAGTGACTGTTTGAAGTTGCAACAGCACTGAAAAAAGCGAATTATGATCATTTTTCACACTTATGATTGTTGCAGCATCCCCAGGGTCATGTGATTTATATTCGGATGCTTGGCAACTGATTCATACTTATGATGTTCACAGTGTCTCAGGGTCATGTGATCAATGGCCGGGGGCATGGCCAGCTGATCACTCAGGTTGCAGGGTGCCTGTGTGTGGGGGGAAATCAGTGGGTCTCTGGGATGGGACTGGGGTGGGTGCCTGCTTTCCTTCTCTCCCTTCTCTCCCATTGTCCCTTCCTTCCTTCCTTTCCTTCACCTCCCTTAGTCTCTTTCTCCTTCTCTCCCTCTTTCCCATTGTCCCTTCCTTCCTTTCCTTCCCCTCCCTTTCTCCCTCCTTTCCTCCCTCTTTCCCATTGTCCCTTCCTTCCTTTCCTTCCCCTCCCTTTCTCCCTCCTTTCCTCCCTCTCTCCCATTGTCCCTTCCTTTTTTCCTTCCTTTCCTTCCCCTCCCTTAGTCTCTTCCTCCTTCCCTCCCTCTCCCATTGTCCCTTCCTTCCTTCTTTCCGTCCTTTCCTTCACCTCCCTTTGTCCCTCCTTCCCTCCCTCTCTCCCCTCGTCCCTTCCTTCCTTCCTTCCTTCCTTCCTTCCTTCCTTCCTTCCTTCCTTCCCTCTTTGTCCCTTTCTTCCTTCCCTCCTCCCTTCCATTGTTCCTTCCCTCCATCTTTGTCCCTTCCTTCCTCCCCCCCTCCGTGCCCAGGAAGGAACAAGGGGAGGGGGACAGGCTGCCAGCATGGCTGGCGGCTGTGCTGCCGGTGGTCATGGCGACATGCCAAACCTGCCTGTGCACAGGCACAGGCAGAGCTCCACCCAGCTCACTTGCTCACGCTTTGCTGGAAAACATGCCGCTTGCTAAGTTAGCAGAAGTGCCAGGATCAGCGCCGGGCTACAGCTGATTTGCGCTTCTGCTAAATTAGCAAGCGGCATGTTTTCCAGCAAAGCTTGAGCAAGTTTGCTGGGCAGGAGCCCAGGAGAGCAGCTACAGCTGATCTGTGCTTCTGGGCTGCTCTGCAGAAGCGCAGATCAGCTGTAGCTGTGTGCCCAGATCCTGGGCTCCTGCCGGGCTACAGCTGATTCACGCTTCTGCTAAATTAGCAAGCAGCATGTTTTCCAGCAAAGCGCGAGCAATGAGCTGGGCAGGAGCCCAGGAGAGCAGCTACAGCTGATCTGTGCTTCTGGGCTGCTCTGCAGAAGCGCAGATCAGCTGTAGCTGCGCGCCCAGATCCTGCCCAGCTCGCTTGCATGAGCGAGAGTGCAGGGGCGCGGAATCGGCGTTTCTGAGTACACGCCGATTCGCGCCCCTTCATTCTTCTGAATGAAGACTTTTAGGGGGTGTGGAAAGGGAAACAGACTTAGGGCTGTATTAAGACCATAGATGTAAGGAGAGTGGAAGGGAGGCGAATTCGGGGTGGAGCAGAAAACACGGGGGGAAGGCGTTAGGAAATAAGCACCAAGGTACATGGTGCCTTGCAAGGGATTCCCGAGTGTTTCGCAATTGTTTTTCCTCTCTCCTCTGCGCGAGAAAAACTTTTGCGGCGTAAATCTGAAACCAGGTGTTCCTGTGAGGTGGCACAGGAGGTCCTTGGGAGAGGCGAAGACAAGCTTGGTGTTTCCTCTCTCCCAATCCCCTTAATCTTTTTCACCCCCTTCCCCGGCCTGCCTGTGATCTTAGCTCGCGGCTCCGTGGCTTTTCTTTGCCTAGCTTAGCCAAGCTTTCTTCCGCCCGCCCTGTTCCCGGAAGCGCTGAGGAGGTACGGCAGAAACATGTGAAGGCGAGAAGTAAAAAACAAAACAAACACGGAGTTCCAGCCAGCAGAGGCTTGGCAACCCGGCTGCCGAGAAACAGGAGAGCACAAAGCTGAGGAGAAGAAGGTGGCGGTTTCCTCCTAAAGGGGGCTCCGTTTCTCCACCCCTTCCCCTGGGTTTGTGAGGGAGTTTCTTGGCTCTGATGCTGACAGGTGCTCCTTTGAGCCTGCCGTGAGCTCTCTCACCCCCTTTGCTTCTCCCCCCCGCTTTCGTGAGGATTGTGGCGCCCTTGGGAAGCTGATCATGCTTTGAACCTTAGAAGAGGAGGAGTCCCTTCCTCCTTCCCTCCCTGTCAAGCCCCGGCGGGCTCGACATGAACGGGCTGGGGGAGGGGTTGAGGATGACATGCGTGGTGGCAAAGGAGACTGGCGGCCGTCACCAGACCTCCCAGCTGACAAGCGCAAGTTTGGGGGGGTCGCCAGCTGACAGGCGCAGTTCAGTGCTGCGGCGGCCTCCCCTTCGCTGACCTGCATGCACGAGAAGAAGTCAATCCGGTTGCTGCACAATGAGTCCCTGGGGAGGGCGGGGCCTTGCTCTGTGCCTGCGCTCTTCAAGCGCCTCCTGCAGGGCACATTTGGTAGAGTTTGTGCAGGCTGCTGCCAAGCAGCATATTTTCCACAAACAAGTGAGGTGGGAAGGAGCGGAGCGGGGGGGGGGAGGAAGGTGACGCCATGGGGGGGAAGGCGACGCCACGGGGGGAGGAAGGCGACACCGTGTACCAGCAGCCAGGTGGTCGCGTACCACCAGTGGTACGCATACCACCGGTTGACAAGCCCTGTCCTAGACCAGGGGTGTCAAACTGCCGGCCTATAGGCCGGATGCATCACGCCAAAACCACGCCCTCCCCATTGCCGACAATGGAAAAGAAGTCACAATACGTCATGTGATGTTGCGAGTTTGACCCGCCTGCCCTAGACAAAAACAGCATTTAAACTATAAGCCAGGTTTAATGTTAATAGCAATAGCACTTAGACTTATATACTGCTTCACAGTGCTTTTACAGCCCTCTCTAAGCGGCTTACAAAGTCAGTATATTGCTTCCAACAATCTAGGTCCTTGTTTTACCGACCTCAGAAGGATGGAAGGGTGAGTTAACCTTGAGCTGATGAGCTGCCGGCAGTTGGCAGTCAGCAGAAGTAGCTTGCAGTACTGCATTCTATCACATTCTTAAATGATGCTAATATGTATGATTAAATGGGCACTGCAAAATTGTGACTCTGCCCTTTTATACTTGAGCATTGAAGTTTTACAGAAGTACTAAAGAACTGAGTTCACATCATGTGCCTCCTCCCAGATGCCCATATTATCATCTTCATTTTAGCCATTGTCTATCCACTGCCGGATGAAGGCCTCTTCCGCATGTTTCCAACCAATACGGTCCTGAACTTTCTTTCACCAATTGGGTCTGCAATACTTGTATACATGGCCATTAAACTGAAAATTAATCACAACAGAAATATATAGTCCTGCTGCTTTAGCTTAATATAATCCAGTACTTTGAAGCTGGACATTTAGCCATAGCCATTAGGTAAGCCATCTATAGAAACTCACTTCCATCTCAGGCAAACCTTCCCCTCCCCAAGAACCGCAATAAAGAGTAACGCAGTTACAGTATCATAACCTAATTCAAGATCTTCTCGATCTTACACAGAGAACAATTACGATTCATCTTAATGCATGCTACCTTTCTGTTAGTTCAAGATCTACCGGGCACACAAAGAAAAGTGCCTTCTTATTATTCTTCCTTTGGGCAGAATTTCAAAAAAATGTTCTTTCAGCTTCACATCTCAAGATCCTAACTCGCTCTCCTTGCTTACTTGCTCCACAAGCAAAAAAAGATCCACACACCCATTCCTTCACAATCGAAAAATGCAACGATGTTTTTACAGTAGTTAAAGGCCCAACACGGAGAATTGAATCTCGAGTTTAGCAAATCGCAATGTAGAAGTGTAATTTGGTTCCACCGGATTGGTCCGCCGCGCAGGACTAAAGTATAGGCAGCCTTTCACAGCTGCTGCCATTATCTTGGAAGTGATTCCTTTCATAGAACTGCTTTGCAAGAGGGCGGGACCAACTGCCCCATAAGTGCTTCCGGGTGGCTCTAAGCGAGGAAGGTCGCTCCAAAGGAAGACGCTCTTGCGAGGTCGAGGAAGCGGCTGTTGTAGTAGTCATGATTGGGTCTCTTTGCCGGCTACCCGCAGCCTTGCGGCTGGCGGGACGCTCACGACCCTCGGGATATTTTATGCAGCAGCTGAGTCAGGGGGGACCGAATGCCAATGGCGAGGGCAGTGGGTCGAAGGAAGCGGTGGAGCGACTGGTGCGAGCACATCCCGTGGTGGTGTTCATGAAGGGTAGCCCGGCCCAGCCCCAATGCGGCTTCAGCAACGCGGTGGTGCAGATTCTGCGCCTTCATGGTGTTAATGATTATCGTGCCTACGACGTCCTCCAGGATCCCGACCTCCGGCAAGGTAGGCGTCGCCCTTGCTCAGCTTTCTCTTCAACTGACTGGGCCCCACAGAGCTCTATATGCATTCAGCCATTTGCATCCTTTTTTAGGCCCCCATATATTATCCTCTGCATTTCGTTAATAATTTCTGTAGCTTTTAGGTTATATGCATAACTTTTATTTTCCTTCCAAAGCAATCCGATTGTTGTCTTTATCTCTGATCCCATCTTTTGTTTTTCCTCAATTAGCTAAAGAAGCAAGTTGGACTTACTTGACACCTATTCTTGCTGTCCAAACCAAGAATGATAACCCACAAACATATTTTCGTTGCAAGACTTACTTTACCGGGGCGGGGGGGGGGGGAGAACAGTGGCAGTAGTGGTCACTGTTCAGTTGCCCGCCTGTCTTTTCATAAGGGAACATGCTCATTTGTGCTCCATTTGCTTGCCTTCATCAGAACTAGGGCTATCTGAGAAAAGTGCAGACAGTTGCTAGGTAAAGGCAGATACATTGCTACTATAGATATAGTCCAAGTTTTTGGGTGCTTAGGTTTGACATATGGAGCTTTCTAGACAGCCTGTGGTCTTTACTTTGCTGTCTGATTAAAACAATCATCATGTCTGTTCTCCTTTGTATCTAATTCAGAAAATCAAATCACAAAACAAAATGATATCCATGTAATTTGGCTTACTAAATAAGGATATATAAAATGCATGTTATGTTCAATTTTGGTCTTTCTCAAATAGATTGTCTCCTCTCAAAATTGTTTTTTTTATATTCAGTATTAAGTAAGTAGAACAAGTGCCATTTCATATTGCACTGGCACATTGCCACTGCTATTGTACTGGTGAGATTGTTAATGTATTTTCTTGCTTTCTGAACAGTGTGAGGGTTTGTGTAGGAGAGAATATATTAATACTGAAGCCTATTTAGACAGATAACTCTTTGTCCATTGGGTTGCTCAGACAATTCCAATAGTGATTTGATAAGGAATGCTAAGTGTGAAAGAGTAGGTCTGCAACTTGAGAGTCCTTTACTAGCTGGAGCATATTATATCTGTTATATTGTACACACCTTTACATTAGGTCCCTATAAGCTGCCAAGCCCAATTTAAAGTGCTGTGTAAACTTAAAAGGTACTTTATGATTTTGCACTATGCTACCTTGAAGACCATATTTGCCCATTTGAATTGGCCTGACCTTGCTGGGAAAAACAACTGGGGGGGGGGGATATTGAATAACTGCTTTATAATTCCCTAGATTGGCTTCGCATTACTCCCTTGATTATTCCCAAATTTATTTGCCTGAAGATGGAGTTCTTCTAGATCTAGAAGATGCTTGGGATCTTCAACTTGTACTTTTTTAGATTGTTCTTAGTTTTTGTTTTATATTTTTGGATTTTATTGGAAGACAGATGCTTTTACGTTTACATTTTTATGAAACAGTTAAGAATCCTATGTAAATACAGTAAATAATTATTAAATAATTTTTTATTTTCAGTTGATGAATATACATATTAATAGCTAATCCTTTAAACTACTCATTACGAATTTAGATATGGGAATAGTGTTAATGGATGAAAAGATACAGAACATTTCACTGTTATTTTAATGGGAAAAATTATTAAATATTTTCTTCTCTTCAAAATGGGAGAAAATGTTTTATTCTTGTATGTATCACCTTAAATGGAAATTTATGGTGATTTATGGAAAATAACATTTTTTTCCAGAACTTACAGCTATTACTTGTAAGTAACCATTAAGTTGCAAAATTAATCTTCAGTTTTATACATTTGTGGAAATAAGTATTGCATTCTAGAAACTCTAAACGAGGTCCAAATCTGCAAGTGATTTAAGGCATTTCCTTCATTTTCCTAAAATTATAAAGCTGGGTTCATTTATATAATTCAGGCTTATATTAATAAAATAGAAACCTAAAATCCAGTCTGCCCTGTGCTAACTGAAATATGCTTTTGTTTTTGCTTATGTGTATCAAAGAATTCTTCCTTGCTTGTTTTCCTCTCCCTCCTTTCCGCTTTTTTGCATATCCAATCATACACACATACACATATACAGTGTGTGCTTGAGCATGTGTGTATGTGTATGTATGTATGTACACACATATCCCAAATCTTTAGGATAACTAAGACTTAAAGTTATACTGCATTATTTTCATAACTGATTTATGAACCTGTGGAATAGTACCATGCTTAAGAGGTTTATAGTTAAGAATGCCATAACTTTTCTTTACTTTCTGTGTTTTGTGAAGTGAGAAAAATTATGCCATATATGCATAACAAGATACACCACACACTGAACTCCCCAGGATCTGTGAGAAAGAGATAAGAATTTGGATGAAAATAGATTGGCAAAGAGAACTGAAGGCTTCAGCAGGGCATGGTGACAAAAACCACTCCCTTTGCAACATTTTTTAATTAGTACATGGTGTTAAATTTTATAGTTCCAGTGGGTACCATAATATTTAAATATTTCAAAATATTTAATGTAAAAACATCTTAGGCTTAATTTTAAGATATGATCAATTTTTGAAAAAGATTTTTTACACATCACATGATTCTTTAAAGAATTCTGTAGTTCTTTGGCAAAGGAACTCTACTGGAATTTGAATTGAAAGTCACATATTGTTTCTAAATATCAGATGAATGTTAATAGATTTATAGTACAAGTAAATGGGGCAAATGGGTATTGGTTTTTAAAAAACAGAGCATACAAGGAATAAGGGTAGTAGATTACTCTGCTTGAAAGAAATAATTTGTGGAATCTGAAATAAGAATACTCTTTTTGGAAAGAAATACAGTGCAATATTTTATTAATCTTCCCATTTGTATATTACTATTTAAAACCTAGATTTTTCATATGCCATTCCCAGTTTTAGAATTTGAGTTTGTATATTAAAACAAAAAAAACCTAAAAACAAAATGTTAGTATGTAATGTAGCTGATTGGAATGGAAACATCTTTGTTCAGATTGTAATTTGCAATGTAACTGGTTTAGCTACTTTATGCTGCCATCTTTCAGTATAACAAGTGAAAAATGTACTAATTGTTGTTTGTGAAATTATGTAAATTATAACAAAAAAGATAATAATCAAAGATGTGAAAAAGTGGGCATTTTTATGCTGCACATGGAGCTCTCATTTTTCCCCCCTACATTTCCCCACTATTTGGCTCTTAAATGCTTTGTTTTATATATACATCAGCTCCTGTATTTTCACATTAATCCATTTGGCTATGCTGCTTCCATTCTAATCTGAAACTACTAATTAGTACATAGTGATAAATTTTATAGCCCCAGTGGGTATCATAAGCGTCATATCTAGAAACTTCAACATAGTTTCAGTTATGGTATACAGTGCTATCAGAGCAATTAATACTTGACAAAGTAGCAAAACTAATTTTATATATCAGAAAAGGAATAGGAGAGACGAGTAATATGTGTGTCTATGAAGACAGGCAAGCTAGCGCATCAGCACTATTCTCCAATGTTCCTTTTTTTGTCTACACTTCTAAAAGCCCTGTTCTGCATTGTTTAATATGCTTGGGAATATGTTATTTAACTTCCTTTTACTTTTTGATTTAGGAATTAAAAATTATTCCAACTGGCCTACTATTCCTCAAGTCTACCTCAATGGTGAATTTGTGGGAGGTTGCGATATACTACTCCAGATGCATCAAAGTGGAGACCTAGTGGAAGAGCTTAAGAAATTAGGAATTCAATCTGCACTTCTGGAATCTGAGAAAGACCGTGGCAAAAAATAAAATTACTGTGATTTTGTCAAAGACATATTTTGATAACTGGCACCGGAAAAGCCTCCTGTTCTTTAGTTTAGAAAAAAAACAGGTTTTGAATTAATGAGGTTTTATTATTAAGCATTCTGTTGTCTGTTGCACAGTATGATCAACTGATATATGAATATTTTTACTTTTGCCATCCATTTACAATACTATCAAAGTGAAAAAAAAAGCAATTCACTTCTATTTTGCACTGCTTCGTATTTGATTAGTCATTTTTTAATTGCCTTTATGCTAAGAATTTATTCCAGAACAGCTAGGATTATTTGTCTTTCATAAATATTTTTTTTTTAAAAAAAAATTCTTGAGTTAATTCTGGGGACTTTGGGATGTTTAACTGCATTTCTTTCACATTGCAGATGATCTAGCTTCTTTGCAGAAGCACCTGATGATAGTGATGCTCTTCCAACTTGTTAAAAAAACAGTTTTTGACATACACACGGTGATTCTTTGGGAAGCTAGGTTGTCTTCTCTCATCTTAATTTTTCTTTATTTTAACTTAATTATTCATATTAATAGTATTGACATTGTTTCTATTAAGAGATAATGTATTAAAAGTCGATAGCAATATTTCAGTTGAAAAGAAAACAGGCAATTTGTTAAAATTTCCAGAATCGTCTAAAGAAGAGTGCAAGTTATAGTTGTTCATAAACATTTGAGTTTAAAATTTGCCCCCTCTCGCTACTTTTATCTGGTAGGTTGGTGGTTGTAGACTTTTTGCCTTGTATTATCCGACTACTATTAAGAGCTATAGATTACTTCTTCATTTTGACAATAAAAAATACTTAAGTTTTAAAAACAGCTTTGAATGTTGTATTAATGAGCTGAATATAAGTGGAAAGAGTTAGATGTTAAAGATAAAAGTAGGAAAAAGCAACCTCTTCAAACAGCTTTAAGACTTTGCTAGCTTAGTTTTCACTTTAGGAAAGTAAAGTATGAAAAGAAAGAAATGTTTAAAATTGATTTTCATTCCAAGGGAAAAAAGCATCCCAAAGAAACTAAATAAACTCAAGATAATGGTACAGGCTTATCAATTATTTCACTATTCTTAGCTTCCTCTAGTTTGCTTAAAAGTCTAGAAAACTAACTCTTATTGAACTCAGTATGATTTTCCTGAGATAACACATAAATAGGAATTATGGCTATTAATGCCTCATGTTCATTGATATATTCTTGGGAATAAGAATTAAAAATGTAAACTAATGGTGAGAAATCATTGATCAGAAACTATTTAATTTGGAAAACAGTGTTTGATAGACACATATATCCTTTATACATAGCATTTGAACTGTGTGTTTGTTAAAACAAATATATAGTACTTTTAACTGTGTAGAACTTTTATTGTCATATAATCAGCCTATGTTTATATACATATACAATAACACTAATAAATACATTAAAATATTAACTGTTTATTTTGTTAGAAAGCAACAAAACCATTATTTTGTTGCCCAAATATTTTAATGGGATTTGAGATATTGTTGATAGGTTTTGAAATAACAAAAATAAGCTTTACTTTTGTTTATTTTCAGTTTAAAATAAAAATAAAGGATTCATTTTGGAATTAAAACTGTTATATCTCTGAACTTCTGCATCACTACACAAACCACTTGGATATTGGTTGCAAAATAGTTGTTAGTTTTAATATTCTGAAATTGTGACAAAGAAACATAGAAACATGTTTTCAAAAGCATCCATTCTCATTTTGCATAACAGTATCATTTTCAACTTGGAGTTACAGCTAAAAAAGCGATAATCATTGGAATAACATTTCTTCTTATATGGACTATGAAAAAATATTTTGTGATAGAAGTTGGATACAAGGAACACCAATTCTTTTTACTTTTTAACTGAGTTTATGCACAACACTTAATGTGTCCCACTTTTTGGTGTTCCATAGAAATTGAACTTATGATCCTAATGATATAGCTAATGTGACCAATAGCCTCAAGAGAAGATTATATGATAGTCTTATTTTTATTTATTAAATTTGCATACCCTCTGATTCCCAAAGATACTCAGTAATTTACAACAAAACTCTAAAAAAAAGTGGCAAACATTCCTTGCAGATGGCTGGGTCAAGAGCCAGCTCCTAATAGTTCTAAACAATTGAAGAATGTGTTTCATCCGAATCTAATGGAGAACCTCATTCCAAAGGGCAGGCATTACTACAGGGAAGACAACTTTTGGAGTCCTGAGAGATGACATTGTGTGATCAAAGGAAATTGGAGCATACAAATCTTGCCAGGATCAAATGAGCTTTTTTCAGTTGTGCATGGATAGTAGGTAAAACATTTTTCGCAAGGACTTCAGACATGGGTGGGCCTATGCTGTTGACCAGCAATGATTCAGTGAACTAGGCATATTCCACATGCATTTCACCACATAGTTTATTTAATTTCTAATCACTGTATCTAAACAACTAGTTGAACAAAGATAAAAGATTGGAAGAATCTCCTTTCAAATTATAATGGTGGGTTTTTATTTTTACTTCAAAATGCACAGTAAAGGGCAAAATACAATATCCAAGTAAATAATTACATTTTTTTTAAAAAAGGGAAAAAGTATGACCATCTGAAAATTAAAACTATTGAGTTTGTTAATTCTAGACTTTGTCTTGCTTGAAGCAAAAGATGGGAGTTCTCCACTCCATCCACAAAATATTGAGTATTATACGAGTATCCTCTACTGTTGTATCTGACAATAGTCTTGTTTTTCTGGCAAAGGTAGTTCATGTGATACACATGACCAGTGTGCAACCTCATGTGCAAAAATAAATTGCTTTACTCTTTCTAGGGAATGAAATGATGATGCTGATGTCATAAACAATCAAGGATTTAGGTAATCAGAATTTAACAAATGATCTGAAAAATTAGGCTGCTTAACAAAATTGTAACAGTTTATCAGAAGTACATCCTGAAATAAGATTACAATTTTTCTTTCACAAATAAAGCACACCAAGTTTACATTCAATAAGGAAATAAAAAGTATCATGGTAGCCTACAAAACTATCACAGTAAGAAAAATACAATGTCCATTATGGCAATCTAAAGTACATATAGCTACACATTATTTGAATTGCATATATAAACTCATACCTTTACCTTTCCTACCCATCCCTTCAAAACATTGTGAAAACAGTATTCTGCATTTTAAATAATCAAATTTTGCTGATCATTTCAACCAGCTATATTAATGTCCTTTCCTATATTTTAGTGCTCAGACAAGTGTTGATAAATATTTTGAGCCATTATGTAAATTGTATATAATTTAAATCCTGATCTGCTTGTTATATGGAAGCATATCTAACAAACAGGTTGTTTCAAAAAATACTATAAGGCTGCTATCTGCCTTAATAGCTACATTAGCCATCTTAAAATCCTATGCCACTATTTTAATGTAATATTGTATGAAACTGCTGCCTTCACATTTGTATCAGTGAAAGTGAAATGGTGCACACTCATAAGGTTTTTCTGAGCCCTCTTTACAAGCCTAGTTTTTGTACTTTCTGCTGTTTTACTTTACTGTCCTATGGTTGCCGTTTCACAATTATTTACAAAAATGCCTTGTTTCTAATGTACACAAAAGTAACTGTTCAAATAAACATACTGTGCTTAGTTCAATAGTGTATGTATTATATATGTGTGTATATATATATATATGTATGTATGTAGTATAAAATTTAAAGCTTTTTTAAAAGATAGCACGTATAGTAAACTAATAATGTATCAAAAGTATTAAAAGGAAACTATAAAATTAGAAAAATTGCATAGGACACACAATTTGCTTCACAAAAGAAACTTTCATTGTTGGCAAAACTGACTAGTAACATTTGGAAGAGAATATGCAAATAAAGAGAAATCCAGAATATATTTTGGTAATAGCTCTTTTATAAGTTCTCTTGGAGTATTACACATATAATAATGCAGAGTTTCTGGACTTATAGGCTTATACCATGCTTGCCTTTCTGGGAAATGTATAAAGGATGGTGCTTGTACCCTTTCAAGAACAAAATTGGCATCTTCTTCAAGTCTCCCATAGGATCCTATGAAATCATACTTTATAGCACAGGGTTGACACAGGTTGTAAATTGGCATCCAATGTTCATTCATTTTTTCTGTTTCTTCATCTAAGAGATACCGGAGAAATTCAGAAAAGGTGACATCATCCCCCATGCTTTTTCCAGGGTTTTTCCTATACCTTTTGACTATTTCTATACCATATTTTAACTGATATTCTTTAATCTCACCAAATTTATTCCTATAAGCAGACAAAAGTCTTTCCATTGGGTCTCTGACAAACACAAATTTGAAGTAGTGGTTTAATCGATATCGAATCTCATCTGATTTCATGTCATTTAAAAAAATTAAATCTTTTTTGTGATCCATCTTAAGTTTAACATCTATATTCTCCAACACACCGTCTAAAACTTTCAAAATTCGTTTCCAGTTGGAGCAAGCCACTTTGGGAACATAACAATATAAAAAGCGATGTTTGTCACTAACCAGGATATGTTTGAGCACTGTCCTTCTCTGGCCTGCTGATAGATCCCAAATGGTGCGAGGCATGTTTTTTTGTCTGCAAATGGTATGGATTGTCCTATTTCGGATATCCTGCAGCACTTGATAATCCATATCTCCTGCTGTTCTACTGCCAGCTCTTCTCCAAAACAGTTCTTTAGTAGAGGGGTGGAGGGGTGGAGGCTTCATCTCAGCCAAAATTCCCTTCTCAATCATGAGGAGTAAGCCACTAGATGCCACAATTACACCAAACATCAACATGGAAGGCAGCAGCATAGTGTTACCACGAGAACGATTCTTGGCAGACAAGGTAATCCGATGCATTGAAGACACCCCCATCTCTTTAGCTCTTGTCCCTAAAGGAACAAGGGGCTGTGGAAACATAGCCTGGAATCTCAGGTGGTAGCAGCACAAATTTGAGGCTGACTATGCTATTGCCACTGACATTGCTTTGGATGGATTGGAGACAAAGGGCCCTGGCTATATATCAACAATAGTCCTGTTGGCAGCTGCCTTAATTAGCCTGGCCTAGTTCAGGCTAATAGATGTATTTCATGAAGCAGCAGTAGGGCCCCAAAATTGGTGAGCTGGCATATTCCACGAGACAAAAGAAAATGGGAGATTCCAGGCTTCTTTCTTTGCGCCTGCAGGGCAGCTGACGAAAAAGATTGGATGAGCTGATTTTTTTGCAAAGCCAGGAAGGGCGGCTGCCGGCAGTGACGGCTTGGCAGGGAGGGCCTGTTCCTGCAATTGGAGCCTCGTTTACCCCTCCTCTTTCTCTTGTAACTGCTGCATTTGCAGACTTCCTGGGGAGAACATTCAGAGTACGAGTGAGCAGGCAAAAGACAACTTATACTCAAACAACTGCCTCCCTCCTTTCATACGCTTGCCTGCAGAATCCCTCTGGGCAGCAGAGTAAGATGCTAGTCCCAATTTATTCCAGGCTTTCCAGAGAAAAGAGAAAGAAATAGGCAAAGATCAAAACAACTCAGCATAATATCCACAATTTCATAAAAAACATAATTCACAATAGGGAAGTACAATCATAAATAGGGACAATTTGCATGCCAGAAAGTATGCAACTGTTTTGCAAGGGAGAGGAAGGAACATGAAGTCACTTTTAAATGAGTAATTCTTAATGCCAACAAGTTATCCTCAGCCTAATCTACTGTATCCAAATTCAGTCCTCAAACACCAGCCATCTTTGTTATGTGTTTAAAATTGCTTATTGTTCCACAAATATTTTCTAAAATGTGGACCCAAGCAATTACCACAACTTAGCTCACTGTGTGAATCCAGTGTTTATACGAGTGTAGCTTGCTACTAATGGGCACAGGATGTTATTGAATGGATTTCACTGATTTCCAAATAACAATTTGGAAATATACTGTTATAGTTTATATAACATAACCTGCAAGCAGTGCTCCACATAAGACAAATGGGACAAGCTTTGAGCAAAAGAATTAATGGACAATTAAATTTTACATTAGGACCTGAAACAAGAATATCAGAACATTCCAATTCCTTTTATACGTTGTTCCCATAATATATTTATATTGTATATAGCCATCATGGCTGTGCTCCGGCCAAAGGAAAACTAAAGCTCCAGAATACTTTGCTCCTGAGATGGAAACTGCCATATTTTTGAAGAAGTCTGCTTCTTCTATATAGCTATCTGTATTAACAGGAGAAAGACCATTCTCTGATTGCTATTTCACTATATATTAAAAAGGGATTTTTTTTTAATGAAGAAAGGAAGTTCCTCACATAAGTATCTTGTTGCATCCCAACTTTTGTAGTGTGAAATTGCTGAGTTGCTTGACTGAGATGGGAAGCATATATATTAAATAAATAAATAAATCAAGAGTTTTATGGTCTGGTTCTGGTATGATAACTGGTTTGGGTGAGGTCATAAGCATATATTCTAAAATCAATAATTATAACACTGAAGAGATTTCCCCTTCCCCATTTAATGGCTGCCCATATGGGCAGGAATGAGTTAAGACACTAGCTTAAGTATGTCTATATGACTATTAGTTTACAGTTGCTTTCTTTGTACTAATAGAATTTCTAGTATCTGTAAAACAACTATCTTATCAAAAGCCATGTCCTTAAATCTCTGGGTCTAAGTTCCAATACTGGATTAGTGAAGCCTGACACCCATATCCCTTGTTTCTTACAGGAGTCTCTTCCTGTAAGCAGGAAGATTCTCAAGACACAAAGCTAATATCTAACAATATTCGTTTCCTTCAAGTATATCCAGCATCAGCTCAGTATCAGCTTCCTTCTGCTTTCTTTTATCACTCCTCTCCCTTTCCAGACCTTAAATGGAAGAATTTGTCACTACTATTAACTCCATTCTTCATAAGGGTGTTAAATTTGTTTGTTTTTAATAGAGAATGTTGTGTTCAGGTAAAATTGTGTTGTAAAATGACAAAGGGCAAAAATGGTGAGAGAATATAACCCAGTAGTTTGAAGATGAAGCTTAAGAAGTTTTGAGGAAGGCTATTCTACATAATCCACAAGAATCTGGATGACTACTGTACTGTGACAGCAAAGACAGAGAGAAAACTCTAACATATGTTGCCACTTAGTGGTATTCTGAATGTTTGCAACTCAGATTTGAGAAATTAATTTTAGAAATCTAGTACTGGCATACCTACGAAAAAACTGGAAATAAATAGAAACAATACATTGCACACTAAAGAACTATGATGTCACAATCATTTGGAGAGGGCAAGGAATATTCCAGTGTCTCTGGTATTGCAGTGTTTCATTTTTATTTTTTGACATGAGATCTATATTTTAAACAATTTATATGGCCACCTATTTCACTTCTATCACTCTGGGAAATAGAAGTTTATATTCAGAAATAAGACAAAAATTATGCAATTTATCAAAAAAGAAATCTAACCCACAAAGTATCATATGCCAGAGGTCCAAACAAAATCATTCCATTTTACCAACACTGAAAAATAATAACCATGTTTGCAATTCCTTTCATGTTAAAGCAGAAAATAATATTCCTATAGTTGTTTTTTTTTAAGTTCAACATGGAATTGACACAAATTTTAAAAATTGCTAAATACAATTTTTCATTAATACCCAAATTAGCCTGCATGTATTGTCTGGAACAATTTCTCAGTTTGGACTTAGAACTTTATGACAATACACCTTCAGTTCCTGCCTCTTCCTTACACAAATTGAGCTTTTAAAGCTCCTCAGCTATCAGCCTCTTTATCTCTTTTTCTTCTGTAGGATAGGGATAGGCCGGGGAAATTGGCTATTCAAGTCGACCCATCTTTTCTACAGGATGCTACATCCGGAGGCTGCTAAAAAGGCAAGAGAAAAACAAATCAAGCAATCATCAGATTTCCCAGCATGGGACAGAACTTTTTTCCTCAGACTAATTAAGAGTTAATACCATAGATATGACCCTAAAGCACGAAGAAAGGGGAAGTCTGGGTAGAATAAAATGTTTTAGATTGCAATTTGATAGGAAAAGAGCAAGGAAGGATAAAGAGAAGCAACCTCTTGGAAAACGTTAATATATGCTGGAATGCTACACCCCCAATAAAAAAAGACAGTTCCTTTGGCATGTAAGAAAAATTCCGGCCAGCCAATGGCGATAATTACATGCCAAAGATTCCTTCCAAAAAATCTTCTCAAAGATTGGTTTTCATTGCTCACGTGATCCGGCAGAGGCTTATGACTGGTTACGTTTTGCGCGTGCTATGAAGATTTCTTAAGGGCAAGTGGAAGGTGGGACAGACGGTTGATGAGGTGGTTATTGTGAGAAGAGAAAAAAACGTCTGACTCCGAAAGTTCCCGCCTACAATGACTCCTGAATTGCGTCGTGGACTTTGATTGGGTTTAGAAATGTCAGGATGTAATTATATGTGAGTGACTGACAAAGATTGTAATTGTCGCCATAGGAGTGGTTTGCATCTTCAGGAGTTTCATTTTCTGTTGAAACGACTCCGTTGTGGGAAAGAACGGTATGCGCTTTTTCATTCCTTTTGTGATTGTGACAGGGGAACTCAAGGGGATTTCTTTCGTGCTAGTCGGAAAGAGTGATCGTTTCTCTGACGAAACCGGGATTCCACGATAATTAATAGTGGCAGTATTTTGTGGAGCCCTTCATAAATTGACTTTGTGTAATATCTTTAACCATAGTTAATTGAGCAGTAGTCTATTTAGTTAAATCATGTTTTCGAGATTAGCACGGCATGGTGAATATACGTTAACTACATAATTGGGCTTGCCAGCATTCTAGGCTAAAAGGTAGGTTGGGTTGGGTGATTCAGGTTTATCATAGGCATGTACTCCTGAGGCCACCTTAATTTGGGTTCCCCTGTCTGAATAAGCCACATTGAATATAATGCTCCCAAAGGTTCATTTTAGTTCATAGGTATATGATTTTCAGTAGAAGATATAAGAGTTATTAATTGCATTCCAGCTATTCCTGCAACACCTATCATACTTGCAAATATGACTGTACAAATAGCCCAATATTTCTGTTGCTAAGTGAGACATTTGTTAAGTGAATTTTGCCCCATTTTACAACCTTTCTTGCCACAGTTGTTAGGTGAATCACTGTAGTTAAAGTTAGTAACATGGTTATTAAGTGAATTTGGCTTCCCCATTGACTGCTTGTCAGAAAGTAGCAAAAGGGGATCATATGAAACCAGGACACTGCAACTGTTATAAATATGAGTCAGTTGCCAAGCATCTGAATTTTGATCATGCAACTGTGGGGGATGCTGCAACAGTTGTAAGTGTGAAAAACAGTCATAAGTCACTTTTTTTCAGTGTCATTGTAACTTCAAACAATCACTAAATGAACTGTTGTAAGTTGAGAAGTACCTGTACTTGATTGTGTAATGGATTGCATTGTAAAATGTTGCTACTTTCAAAATGATAATCCCTATAGTGAAACACTTTTTGCCCTAATGTGTGCATTTTTCTGCATCTAGGAATTTCCTTTTCAAAGTGAATGGTGTTTACATGGACTAACGATTAACTAATATGGCCTGTAGAAGAGAAGGAACTCAAGAACAGCTTCTCTCTAATATCATTTCAACTATGAATTCTAATAAGTCTCCGGCATGTGCCAGTCAAGCTCATAGAATATGTATGGTGTCTGACTTTTTTTATCCAAACATGGGTGGAGTGGAAAGCCATATTTACCAGTTATCACAGTGCTTAATTGAAAGAGGACACAAAGTTATTGTAGTCACCCATGCTTATGATGATCGCAAAGGTATTCGATATCTCACCAATGGACTGAAAGTCTACTATTTACCATTAAGAGTTATGTACAACCAATCTACAGCCACTACTCTTTTTCACAGTCTGCCTCTGCTCAGGTACATATTTATTCGAGAAAGAATCACCATTGTCCATGCACATAGTTCATTTTCTTCTATGGCTCATGATGCACTATTTCATGCTAAGACAATGCAGCTACGGACAATTTTTACAGATCATTCACTTTTTGGATTTGCTGATGTCAGTTCGGTGCTTACAAATAAACTCTTGACTGTATCACTATGTGATACAAACCACATAGTATGTGTTTCTTACACAAGCAAAGAGAATACTGTATTAAGAGCAGCACTTAATCCAGAAATAGTTTCTGTCATCCCTAATGCTGTTGATCCTACTGACTTCACTCCAGATGCATCTAGACGTGACAACAACACAATAACTGTTGTTGTGGTTAGCAGACTTGTATATAGAAAAGGTAATAAGGTTGGAAGGGTAAGATGTATTTAAATGTTTTTTTAATGTGTATGGATCAGAAATTACCTTTATTGATTTTGCATTTTAAATAAATATTGTGCATAATATAAGGGGTAATTTTTAAGCCCTAAGATGTTTCTGTTTTGTCTGAACTGGATTTTAGACCCATGACAGATGTAATTTAATTCTGGTTTAATATATAGTATGTCATGGATTGAATCTATAAATTGGATGAACTGCAACCAACTTGAGGGAGAGGGAGGGAGGAAAGAGATGGTGTTACTTTGCGTGGTCTTGAAATTTTAAACTGATTTCTAATTTATTTATAAATATGTAATTATTTATAAATTAGAAATACTGTAAATTTCTAGGACATGGACGTACCCATGCATCAAAAACACAATAAGAAATACATGTTGAAAGAGTTTTTTTTTTAAAAAAAAGATTGCTTCAGTCAAAAATTTCTAGCAGGCATATTTTTCAAAATTGATATAACTAGGTTATGAATGAGTACCCTATTCTTTTGGAGATTTTAGTTTAGGACCAAGAAAATGTTCACTGAGTAATAAAATTCACTAGATAATCTTGCACCAGTACCTTTTTCAAGCTAATCTTTTCTGCAGGTTGTGATTGAAAATAAATTGGTGAAAAAGATAGATGCATATGGCTGAGTGTTCTTCAAGAAGGTACTCTCTTTTGCTGTGTCAATGTTACTTTCCAAAAATGGCTAGTCTAGGTCAGAATCTGAATTAATTGAATATAATAAAAATTAAATTAATTAAAAATGATGAACAATTATTCCTTGTATATTATATTTTCCTTCCTATTGCATTAAAATTACAATTTAGTGACAATGTTCAGGGGAGCTTTAGGCATTGCAAATAACAGTGATTCCCAACCTGTGGTCTGTGAAGGCTTGAAGAAGTATTATGATTTAAATCTTGAATTAAGTCTTGGTGGGCTGTGGCCATGGGCCGTGGCCACAAAAGGTATTTAATGGGAGTTTGTGGTGAAGAAAAGGTTGAAAACCACTGGCATATAATGTTTCACATTGTGATGGACTGGGATTGGCAACATGACATCCCAAACAATTAAAAGGTGACCCCTGACTTCCAAAATTAAAATGATCTCTTACATATACATTCTTGATATTTGGGACATTTTAAGTGTTTAAATGATAAATGCTTTATTTCTTTTTAAATATAAGGCATGGAGGTACTTTCACTTTAAAGGATTGCCAGCCATTAGTCTGGAACTTTAGGGTTTATATTTTATTCTAAATGAAATCAAGAGTGTTATTGAAAATAAGATGTAGATTACTTTTTATAAGAAGAGTAGGTTGTATACTCTTTAGCTCAGAATTTTGCTCATATCTTGTTACAGTTCAGCCAGTCATTATGTTACCTGACTCAGTTTTATGACTTTTTTTTACGGTAGTCATAAAACAATCCATTTAGCATTTTATGCTGGAAAACAGCTGGAAGTTTGCATACCACAGTCTCATGATCTCATGATATTGCAGCTGGTCATAATTGCAAGCTGGTTGCCAAGCACCGAAAATGCAATCACAACTGCAAAGGGTGGTGGTGGTCTATCATAAGTTTGAGTGGAAATTATGCAATGACCACCTGTAGTATGTAACAGAAAAATAAAAGTGCACAGAGGTTGGTCAGCAGCATATAAGCTCTTTTGAAGTTTTGTCCTGGAAGGTCATTTACAACCATGCAATGTTAATATAAAACTGGTTTAGTAAATTATTAAGGTGTCTTACATTTTAAATATTGTATTTTGGTTTTGAAATTCTGAAAGCTAACCAGTGGTGGAATGATTCATACAAAAGACGATTGTTTAATAATCATTTTTTATAAAACTGAATAAATATTTTTCTTTAGGTATTGATTTACTTAGTGGTATAATTCCTGAGCTATGTCAGAAGTATCCAGATTTACATTTTTTAGTTGGAGGAGAAGGACCGAAAAGAATTGTATTAGAAGAAGTACGGGAAAGATATCAACTACACGAGAGGTATGTTTTCTGCATTGTATTTAATATAGCTATGTTAATTAAAGATTTAGCAAGGAAATGAAGAAAGGAATGGGATGATGATTTTATACAATGGATAATATTTTGAAATAATGGAAAATACTTGTAGCTCGGGTTGTAGGTTTTGGCTGTGATTTGTTCTCCAAGCTTGTTTTAATATAATTTCTGAACATTTTGTTACCAAACTACTGTAGGTAACATCAGCAGCAGGATTTTCTTGTCCTATTCTCCTTAGCTTGATGACCCAGGGCCCCGAACGGAGGCAAAGCAATTAGCGGCTCAGAATAATTGTCTTTGTAAGCACTGCCAACGTTCACCCAACAGCCCCCACATATGCTGGCTCAAGTTCAATAAAACAGTCAACGGAGTTCAACAGTTCTTTAAAGTAAAACAGATAACAAACAAAGTATGATCTTTTCAACGCCCAGCTTGCCTGTAATATGCAAACTGCAAAACTGAAGACAGCAAGGAAAACTCAGGAGGAAACAAACTTGATCCAAAATACAAAGAGTCCAGGTACAAGAGCTCACATTACAAGAGTTCACGTTTGTTCCCGGCAAATGCCCCACCCCACAGCGTCTCCTTAAATACCTATTCCCCAGGTGTGCCTTGTGAAGTGGGGCGTGACGCTCTCCTCCCGAGCAAGTGAGCCTGCCTCCGTTGTTCCCTCCTCTTCTCTGCTCTCCTTGTTCTGGGATCTGGTGGAGAGGGGCCTTGCTCCTCGCCTGAGCTCTGCCTTCCCTGTTCCAAACTTGAAGGGTCCTGGCCTGCTTCAGCCTGTTGCTCCCCACAGTCCTCTGAAGCCACAGACACCCCCTCCTGGGCCTCAACAGGGAACTCCATGTCGTCCTCAGAGTCAGGCTCGGATGGAGGCATGACATTAGCTCATAAATGTCTTGTGTGCCAGAGTAATCAGTTGGTCGTACAATTGGTTGTTTGTTAGGAGATAAATTTGAATTCTGAGCAGCTGATTGGTTCTCTTGTTGATTGGTACTTCAAATGGTCTGGTTTCTTACATATTGATATGTTGGATCTAGATCAGTGGTGGTGAACCTATGGCACATGTGCCAGAGGCGGCACTCAGAGCTAACTCGCCGAGGTCCCGCATGCCGGATGCATCCCAGCATGGCTGGTTTCCCTCCCCCCTGTCCCAGGTGCTGACTATCATCTTTAAGGTGCTCCATGGCAGCGGACCAGGATACCTTCGAGACCGCCTTCTGCCACAGATTACCTCCCATCGGCCAGTACGCTCCCACAGGGTGGGTCTCCTCAGGGTGCCGTCGGCCAGACAGTGCCGGCTGGCGACCCCAAGGGGGAGGGCCTTCTCTGTGGGAGCTCCCACCCTCTGGAANGGCCTAGGGTAATTTTTAAGAGGGGTTTTTAGAGGAGTTTTTAATTATATTTTAAATTAGACAAGTTAAATATTTCATTTTAATTAATTTTAAATTTTGTGTTGTTATTGGTGTTTTTAATTGATTGTCAGCCGCCCTGAGTCCGCAAGGAGAAGGGCGGGATATAAATTCGAACAATAATAATAATAATAATAATAATCCCTCCTGGCCTCGCATGCTCTCCTTTTCCTGGGCACGATCCACTGCATCTGTGCTTCTCTGAACTGCTGGTGGTGGGCTGCGGAGCCCTAGAGTGCGCTGGTCGAGAGGCCGGCAGGCTGTGGCTGCTGACGGACACTGTTAGCCCCCATGCGCTCGCTGGCCTCTGTGTGCGGGGGCCGATGGTGTCAGGCAGTAGCTCCCCTGGCTCCTGCCCCGCCTTGCTCTGCGGTAATGGCACCCCTGCCCTGCCTAACCTTGCCTAGCCTCACCCTGCAGGACGAGCCTCCTGCCCACCGCCCCACTTACCAGAGACCCCCTGGATCTCCCCCAACCCTGCCCAGCCCCCATAGGCATCCCTCCCCATGAGCAACATTGAGGTGACCACGCCCACCTTGGCCACACCCACCCAGTCTGCCATGACCACCACAGCCATACCCACCCAGTGGGCCATGCCCACCTGGCACCTGGCAATAAATAAATGGGTTTTGGATTGCAGTTTGGGCACTCGGTCTCTAAAAGGTTCGCCATCACTGATCTAGATCAATATGCTTGTTAATTGCTCCTTTGGTGGAATAGCAAGCCTCAATAAATTCACGTGAAAATGTAGGTTGTTTCTCTTGATTTTTTTCTAATATTAATTATTGATAAAAATTTCAAGAACTCAATGACATGAGAGAATGTTTGGATGATCTTAGATCTCACTATTTTGTTTCTCTATACTTGATTATTGAATATTTGCAATATAGCTGAACCAATATTTAGCATTTTAGCCTTCTTTGAAGACAAGAGTTGGAAAAATTGAAAATTGATTTAGCTGCATTCCTCATGAAATGTGAAATGTGGAAACTCTTAAAAAGCATAATCTAACATACTTTGTTCTTGATGTAATTAAAATTAAAGACTTTGAAAATTAATTGATACTGATGGCATTAGTAGTTCATTCATATTAGTTGATTTCACAGTTGGTTGCAAGTATTTATCTTGGACTGTGCTTTTCTCTGTTGATAAAAATATTTCTATCAATATTTTTTTCTTTGTTTCTCAAAACCTTATAGAGTTCGTCTTCTAGGAGCCTTAGAACACCAGGAAGTTAGAAATGTCTTGGTGCAAGGTCATATTTTTCTTAATACATCTCTCACAGAAGCATTTTGTATGGCAATTGTGGAAGCTGCCAGTTGTGGTTTACAGGTAAACCTTTTTCTTATTGAAAGAAATTAAATGGACCATTGTCTTAAGAATTTAATAAAACTACGATAGGAACAAAATCCATATAACACCTCTATGTTAAGAGCTGTATCATTTGCCATTCTGGGCACAATTCATGGTGCTGGTTGTCACTTTTAAAGCCTTGTCACTTTCTCCCAGTAACATCTGTTTGTTTAATGCAAACTAATATGGCAGGTTTTTTAAATGTATATTTGATTAGAGACTGCTATCTTTAGGGGCCAAGGAAGTGTACCTTCTTAATTAACCCCTATTCCCCTCAACATGGCAATTCTCTTATCATTTTCCTCCTGAGGAGGAAAATTGTTCTGTTGTGTGTTCCTTTCTTCATGTTATCATTTATATTATTATAATACATAATTTGTTCCTGATTATGTGTTATGGAATTGTAAACTTCTCAGTGTTGGCTGATTGGCGTGCCTGCAAATAGCTAAATAAAATAAATTTAGCCCTTTATCAGTGGCAAAATTTCCATCTAGTTTGAGGTAAAATAGTACATTTTAAAAACATCTGTCAAGTAAAAAATGGTAAAGAGTAATATTTGTAGTGTTTTCTATTGCAGGGCTTTTCAACCTTTTCACCCATTGTACAACTTTTAGGATATGGCAATATCCGAGTACCACCAGTCGCCTAGCAAAGTGTCAAAAACTTGATGACCAAAAAAAAAAAAAAAAAATAGCAGGGGTGAGGTGGGGGGTGTTTGGTTTTTATTCCCCCCGTCTGCTGGCTGGTTGCAGCAGGTTTTGGTCACTTCACATGACCCTGGGACACTGTGACCATCATAAATATGAATCAGTTGCCAAGCATCTGAATGTAAATCACAATACCCTGGGGATGCTGCAACATTTCAGCTGATCGGCACTTCTTCTGGGCTCAGCAGAAGCGCCAGGATCAGTGCTGCTTTCCAGCTGATTGGTGCTTCTTCAGGGCTCAGCAGAAGCACCAGGATCAGCGCCGAGCTCCAGCTGGAGCCTGGCGCTGATCCTGGCGCTTCCACTGAGCCCTGACAATCTCGAAGAAGCATTGATCAGCTGGAAAGCAGCATTGATCCTGGCGCTTCCGCTGAGCCCTGACAGCCCTGCAGCTCCAGCTATCTCTCGCTTAAGCTTGTGCGGTGCTGTCACCAGTTCAGCTCATTCCCCTCCCCCGCTACCACTTTTCTAAGATGGTCGCGTACCATCTACCAGGTGCCAATATACCACAGGTGGTACCCGTACCACTGGTTGAAAAGCCCTGTTCTATTGCACGTACATTCCAAAATGGGAACACATAAGAGTGAGGTCTAATGACAAACTAAACATTCCTGAAGGAGTAGGGATGGCATTGCAGCGGAGATTGGTGGCCAGACATTGAATTCTAGCCAGTGGAGTTTTCTCTGGACAAAGAGAGACAATGAGATTATTCACCTGCACTCCAGACAGCTGCTACTCATGAGGCTATTGCAAAAATTGTGGGGTTGAGTGGTTGGAAGTCAAGGGATTTTAGTCATGCTCAAAATTGCAATGCAGCCTTTAATGAACATAAGATTTGCAAATGCCTCATTTTCTTAACCACTATCAGATGCAATCAATTTAAAGTTAAAGAGAGATCTTCCAAATAGCAGGATAAGGGAAAATCACTTGTTGAGTTTCTGATAAAAGTGAAAAAAATAAAAGAATTTTAAATTACTACTTAAAAGCTTAACAAAAATTTGGTGTAAGAAAGTTTAAATAGATAAAAGAGACAGTAGTTTTGAAAGATTAATTTTTGGCAAAAGCCTTTTAAAAGTATTGGAGCTAACATGCAGATTAGACTTTTGTAGAATGTTGTTTCTTTAATATTAAAGAAACAGTGGATTTGACAAAATAAAGATAAATATGAGACAGATTGTATGACTGTAATTATGGAGCATCAAATAAGACTTAAATATTAAGGACAAAGAAAGGCAAAACAAAAAACAATTGGGGGAAGCCTGTAATTCAGACTAATTTGGTATGCTAGCAGATTTTAAGATTAAGAATTAGCAGACAAAAATGCTTACAAAAATGATGAAGAAAATTGGCTTAAGATTGAGAAAAAAATAAAATATTTGAGTATCACAAATATTGATTATATGTTATTGCAAAATAATTATGTAAGATGTGGAATGAAATTAAAAGGACATGCTAATATGAAGATAAAATAAATTTGTCACGATTGGGGAGAATTTCTGTGTTAAAAATAAATGTTCTGCCTGGAAGGATAGTTTTGTTTCAGATACTATCTTTTTTGAGAACTGATAGACCATTTAAATAATACCTAAAAATTATCTCTAAATTTGTATGATAGGGAAAAATCTATGAGTTAAATATAAGATGTTATAAAATGCAAAGGAAAGAAGAGGATTGGGTTTACCTGATCTGAAATTGTATTTTGCAGTTTATCATTTTGTTTGGGTATTGTTAAAAATTAAAGACTGAATAAAAGAGTTAGAATGACATGACCTGATATTTGGCTGGCATGGATATTTGTGGTATACCAAAGTCAATGTAGATTTCAAAAATCATTATGTTAGATGCGCATATTGAGAATGTGGAATAGGTACAAGTCCAGGTTATTCCTGAATATAGCTTTATGGCTGTCAATACAAGTATTTGATAGAGGAGAAAAAAATAGGCATTTATAACTGCTGGGAAGAAAATTGGAAGCCATATCTTTATATTCTTTATATACTTTTTCTATTTCTACTTTTTTTGTACTTTCTTAACTTTTTTAATTTCTCCCTTTTTCATTCTATTTTAGTTTGTATTAGTTCTTATTTTTAATATGAAGGCTTTCAATAAAAATTATATTTAAAAAAATAAAATGGAAACACCTAACAATTGTATCCTTTCCCATTTGAACATGTGTGTTTGTGCCTTCAAGTCAGAGTTGACTCCTGGCAACTGCCTAGACTAATCCCTGCATTTTTCTTGGCAATTTTTTTTTGAAAATGGTTTATCATTGCCAGCTTTCTAGGAATGAAAGAGAATGACTGGCCCAAGGTCCCCCAACTGACTTTATCTAAGGTGTATTTAGAACTCATGGTCTTCCAGTTTTTAGCCTGGTGCCTTAATCATTACACAAACTGGTGCTATTTGAAAGAATGGTAATGGTAAATCAATTGCTTTCTTTTCTATTTTGGAGTGCAAGAACAAGCTACACAACCTATTTAATACAGGTCCCCATTGTAAACATTTCTGGAAGCACTGAACTTTTAAATGGCTGAAGGTAATAAGTATTTTATAAAGTAAAGAATGAATATGATACAGTCAGAACAACAAGTAATGTGAAGTACTTTAACAGAATAATACTGGACAATTATTGGGATAAAGATTCCTACAAACAAAATATTAAAATATAGTGGAGGGTATAGTTAGGAAATAGTTCAGAAGTGAGATAATGTTTTGTCAGTATATTAAAAAAATTGTATACACTTCCGGTTCTGGTACGCGGCGACGCCGGTTGCATGTAGGGACTCGTCTCCATTCCAGCTGGGTTTTCTTTGCCGGTAGACCCTTAGCGGGTCGAAAGCCACCCTGCAGGGGCAACCACCGAGGAGGAGGCTTGCTGGTGACTGCGGGAGGGCGGCAGCTTCTCCCGTGGCACCAGCTATCTTCTTAGGGCCAACGGAGCAAAGATCGTCCTGCAAGATGGCCGATCACCCTGCTGCACCAGCTGAAGTCACAATTACACCTAAGCGTATCAGACCCACTGCGGATGATCCGGGTGAGACCCTCTTTGCCCCTCTCTTTACCCTACTTGGTTTTTTTTATTGCCTGTAAAAGCATGGCTGGAATTATTTCCCTGTCTGGAAAAAGCAGCTTTTGTATGTGTGGGAAGAAAGGCGCTGAGAACAATTTTTTTTAAAGACTACAGTCTATTTTTATTCATTTTGGGATACAGCAAAAAAACGTTTCTTTGAATTGTATTATTATTTTATATTGGAAGATTATTTTTCCACTTTTTCCTTTAAAAGATAGAAAAAAGGAGAAAAAAATGGTGTCTCGAAAAGATTTTTATTTACTGAGGACATCTAGTGGTGAAAAGTTAATATTGCAACTGTGGATTATTTGGAGAGAAGGGCCTGACTTTCAAACTACTTTGGGAAGAGAAAAGATAAGCTGATGCAGCTGTGGGAACTGAGGGGGTGGATATTGCTCAACTACAGCTTTCACTAAAAAGAAAAAAGAAAGGATTTTATTCAATCACTTAAAATGGAGAAATTTTGCTCTCACTTAAACTGCAAACTTATATTGGAAAAGATTTATGAGGCTACTGAAGAAATATGTGCCACAATGAAAGAGATTACTACAGAATTAAGAGCCAACTCTACCTCAAATTCTCAAACTGACTTTCAGACTACATCTGACTATTCTACAAACCAAAACACATCAGAAGAGGAACTAAGGGAGACTAAAGAGAATGGCAGACTTCATTGAGAATACAGAGGAACTTATTTCACCTTACAAGCATTTCATTTATATCTTTGAGGATCAGAAAAAGCAAAGATTGAGATTTGAACTTTTTAAGCAGCGAGGCTTCAAGGATAAGAGAAATAGAGGTCCAATGCAGAGGTCAGGAGGCTCTTTACTGTCTCAAATGATATTACAAGCAACAAAGAGAAATCTATCGGTTGAAAGGGAAGCTCTGTTATGGAAACCTGCTTGGCATAAAAAGAAGCCTAGAATAAGACTGAAAAGAGAAATTTAAAACTATATGTAATGGATTTAAGGCATTTTAGATCTATGGATTGACTTAAGGACTAAGTTTTTGAGTTAGAAGTAAGAAAAATGGGTAATTATTAGAATATATATATTAAATAGATTAAGAATGTATTTTTTGGAATAATAGGTTTATTTGTATGAAAACTATTATGTAATGGAATGAAGAAAACTGAAGAGATGTTTTAGATTGGGATTGAACTAATAATTAATTGAATGTTATTGTAACATGATATGTTTGTTTGATAATATGGATGATGTTAGCTATGATAATTAATTGGATGAAATTAGAATTTTGTTTAATTTACTTAAATGATTTAAGGTTGATATTACTTTGTCAGCTTAAAGAAATTGATTGATTGATGGATTAGAGATGCATAGGATAGATCAATATTTTATTTTAATTAGGAGATATTAGTGGAAGAAGAAATAAATAAGACTTATGATAAAATTAAGGAATTAGAATATATCTGGAAGGTACCTGAACTGATAATGTGTTTATTTAAAGTTAAATTTGATTATGGTATTGTAATTTCATAAAGCTCTAAAACAGGTTTAGGATTAATAGAAATTTAAGTTAGAAATGGACTATTTTAAATATATTAAGCTATTTGAGGGAAATAGGAAATATTTTATGTATTGATTGAGTTATCTATATATGTTTTGTCTTTGGATTTTTGATTACCCCAGCACCACGGTGTGTCTCGAGCATTTTGTCTTAAGAATTAAAAAACCAATAAAATTTCTTTCAAAAAAAATTGTATACTATTCAGAAAAACAACAGATCTCTTTTTTTGTGAAACATAAACTGTTATATATTATCAGTACAGTATTTGTATTTTTGAGATACAATTTGCCTAGCAAAAGCATAATAATTTATCTGTTGTTTCAGGTGGTTAGCACAAGAGTTGGTGGGATTCCTGAAGTACTTCCAGATGATTTTATAATCTTGTGTGAACCTTCAGTGAAATCCCTCTGTATTGGATTGGAAAAGGCTATTGGCCAACTGAAGTCAGGATCATTGTTGCCTCCAGAAATTATGCATGATAAAGTTAGAACATTCTACACTTGGAGAAATGTTGCAAAAAGAACTGAAAAAGTGGGTGAACTTTCTTGTTTGGAAACTCTGTATTCATTTGAGAACATCATATTTTCTAATAGTTTATCTCATTGTGGAAATTCAATTATATTGCTATCTTTATGCACTTAACCTGTAGCCATCTAGTATCTTACATATAGGGAACTTGGTGTGCCAGAGTAAGTATAGACAAGAGATTTATCTATTAATGGTGTACCAGCTCAAATGGCAATTTTTTTGCAGATCCCTTCATATTCATCTGATACTTCAGTCTCATTTCTAGGGACTACTTTTCCAGTATATCTTATTTTAAAAGATGCTTGCTGTCCTATTAAGATTGGAGTTACTGCACATGAGTAGGAGAAATTTTTTCCACAGTCCTTTGCTTTGGAAAAGTAATCTTTGGGAGCCAATGATATGGCACAAAACCATGACCAGTGGATGTTGCTGCTGTAAAGTTATTCTTCTTTATGAGTTGTTCCTAACTTCTGGTTTTATGTCCAGAGATTTGATGAGAGAGTTATCATGGTCTGATTAATTCATTATCCATATTCATTTGTAAATGTAGGTCTTCTGTAATTATATTTAATAATCATACATTTGTAATCATAATCCAGTTTGGATTACATGCCAAATCCTACCATATTATGGATAGGAAATATATGAAATTTTCAATGACAAATTTTAGGAATCTGGAGATTATTCTAGGAGAACATTTGAAAAATAAGGGAAATTAGTTCTTCTAGTTGACTCCTTTGGATATACCAAAGATTATTCCCTAGTGTATTCTAGTGTTACATTTATAATATATTTATGATTAAGGATGAATGTCTTTGAGTTAATACAATTTACATATTACAGACAAACCTAATTTATGTATTTGTTTTCCTCCAGGTGTACAACAGAGTGGCAAATGAAACTGTATTGTCAATGGGCAAACGACTTGAGAGACTTATCACTCATTGTGGCCCAGTGACTGGTTGCATTTTTGCTCTTTTGGCTATGCTCAGCTTTCTTTTTCTGATATTTCTGAAATGGCTGATACCTGATGATTTTGTTGATACTGCAGTAGATGCCACAGGCCTAAAGGGAGCATGGACTAGAAAATATTTCCACAATAAAAATAAAAAAGAAAATACTACAAACTCCTAAAGGTGCTAGAAGTGGAAAAAAAAACTTTCATTCCCTTACTTGTCTTACACTATTATGGATTTGCTATTAAATTTACATTTATCAAGCAAAACTGCTTATATGTCATTGGACAGCTTTCAGTAATGAATGGAAAGAAACTAAAGCGAAGTTCTACCTCAGCATTAATCTAAACTGGTTTAGGAGAGACATTTTCCCAAGATATGCTGCAAAATCTGTTCACATTTATTTCAGCTTGAAATATTTTATAAATACATGGAATGTCATGTCCATTAATGAAAGAGATCATCTGAGGAAATAAAGGGAAAAATAGGTGAGTTGGTAGATCTTTTGTCTATTTTTAGAGTTTTTTCTGTTTTTAATTTGTCTTGCACCATCATAATATGCTTAAAATTGTATGGAAAAGTAGCAGTGTATGTTCTGATCCAGTATAATACAACAAAAATACCTATACTTTTTAAGTATAGATCCCAAGTCTACTGTTGAGATGGTATGATCAATTCAGTATGTTGATATGATCAACTAAAATTGAGAAATGCATAATTGTGAAGTTGGGAGAATATTCTCTTTGTTTAGGCATCTATCACTCATTCTCCAGCACTGGAGATGGAGGATCCACCCATGGGTAGTAGACTGTATTCCTGCCCAATCAGATTAAGTCAGCCAAAGTTGCCACGCCCGTCCTGGACCATAGATCCCAGTCTTGACTTAATCTTGCCCATGGACGAACGTGTAACTCTGGCTCTTAGGCAGGTATAGTCTTGGCTACTGGTGAATCCTCCACCTTCTTTGGCTATTTAGCTTAATTCGAGAAATTTGGGGAACTGTTAGGAAAATTTTCCAAGCCTTCAATTGGGAGAAAGGCTCCTTCTCTTTTTCCCCCCTCCCAGTATTACCACGATAGAAGGGGATCCTTCTCACCCCTCTCCTTTCCCGAGAAGGGGATCCTTCTCGCCCCTCTCCTCCCCCAACCTCTATTTGAATCCGTTCTCACCGGAGCTCGCGGCTGCGGCCCGGTGACGAACGGAGTGAAAAGATTTGCCCTGCTGCAGGCGGGCCTCGTTGCAGGCCATTTGTGATCGGGGCCTTTCGAATCGGCACCTCGACCAAGGAGGCGAGCGCGCGCGCGCCTTAGATCGTCGGGACTGTTTTGCCGTTCGAGAAACAGTTCGGAAGGTAGCCCTTTCGCTAATCGCCGACAAACGGCCGGAGAAAGGGCGCGAACGGCAAGGGAGTCCTGCTGGCTCAAGGGACTGACGAACGGCCGTTCGTCCCCCATTTGCATATTAGGCGCGCCAGCGGGGGTTTCCTTGTTCTTCGGAACTGCTTCCCTCAGGCATTGCAGCTCGCCGTGAAGGGTTGATTCCACCGCGCGCGGGCGCCATTTTGGACCGCGCGAGGAGGGAGATAGCCGGGGAAGCCTTGCAGCTCGTTCAGGCCTCATTACCATAATGCGTGGCCGCCATTTTGAACCGCGCATCGAGCAAATTGGCCGGAGAACTATCAGTCTCGGAAGAATTAAAGGGCTTTCCCAGACTATATTTTACTCTCAGGGTTAAAATAGTCACTTAAGTGGAAAAGGGGGGAGCTTGGCATTGCACACAACGCCCAGTATTCAATAGGCCGCCATTTGAGGTCCGGCCGCCATTTTGAGGACCTCCTCTGACTGGAATCTCACCCCACATTATCAGCAGTTAGATTTAGCTTGTGATAGGGATCCTGAACAGCCCTACAAAATTCCTCCTCAGGCCCTCGTGTCTCCTAGTCTGCTTGCTTGCCTTAAGGAACAAAGTCACTCTTTTCGTGACTGCTATTTGACATTTGGTCACGAGGATTCCAGGTGTTCCATCAGAGCATCTGTCCTTTTTCCTCCTCAAATTAGGCCGGATTCCAGACATACTGATAGTGTGCCTGTCCTTTTCCGACCAATAATATTATTAGTGGGTTCCTAAAAGTACCTGGGTCCCATACGTACCCACAGTGCGTGTGTCCTCGCCCAGAGGTTGTACTCTCTAGATACCGGGGGGTCCCACTCGAGTCCCTGTGCTATCTGAGAATGGAGGCTACCAATCCTTCAGATGCCGCTGCGCCTCCTCTACCCATCTTGTCCGCCGCTCCACCCAGTCTGAAGGGTCCTGGCATGCCTGCATCAAAAACCAAGGGCAGGGCTACGAACAAGACCTCCAAGAGGGCGGACAAACAAGCCAGCCGGAGACATCAGGCCCTCGAAAAGGAGTTTTCTAGGGCACAAAAGGCAGCTAGACTAGATCCCCCCCAAACCGAGGGATTAACGTGCAATCTACCCTTGGGACCTCCCGCCTTTTCCCCGAGGGGATGGACTACGGGAGAACTCTCTCATTCACCCGTACCTCCCACTCCGCGGCCTCACTACGGACCTCCAGAGGCAACTTTCACTCCTACAGCTGCAGGCCTCCGACCCACGGAGTCTGTACCCATGCCTTTGGAGGAGTGCCTGGCCTTCTTGATTGCGCAAGCAGTTGACAGCGCCTTGAACGCCAGGGCTATTCCACCTAGACCTCCGATTGGGAATCCCATCCCTATTCAGGGTCAGGATGAGGAGACTTACGAAGCACCTTCCTCACCATCAGGGTCCTCGTACTCAGAGGGCCTCTCCCTCCACGACCAGGGCACTGACCAAGGGTTTCCAATGTCTGAGGAGGAGGAAACTTCCCCTGATGCCCCGACATTCAGTGGCATGTTTAATCCTTCTGCTTTCGTCACTCTGCTCCGAAAGGTCGCGGCCACAGCCCACCGGGGATCTGAGCCTCCTTCAATGGCGGCCACTGTTTCCCCGGATCCGGAGTTAGATCCCAATTTTACTGAGCCAGTGGCGGCTCAACATCGTATCCCATGCCCTCCCATGTTCATGACCGCTATACAAAAGCAATGGGCTTCTCCAGCTTCCCTCCCTCTGCCTAGCGCTACTGACAAGAGACTTTATAATGTAGCTAACGAGCTGGAAGAGGCATTAGAGGTACCGACAGTGGATGAACCTTTCGGTCCACTGGTCTCTTCCACCGCCATTCCCGGAGACGTATCTGAAGCACTCAAAGCGGAGGACCGCAAGTCCGAACTCGCTTATCGTAAGACCCATCAGGCGGCGGCCTGGGCGATTAGAGCGGCTTCCTCCGCTTCATTCGTTAATAGATCCGCCCATCGCTGGCTCAAACAGCTTCAGGCCCGGACTCCAGCTGATGATGTCCGCTCTCACCAGGACCTAAGTAAAATGATAGCGGCCATGGAATATGCATCAGATGCATCCCTCCAAGCCACCAGGTTTGCCTCCAAAGCTATGGCATCCAGCGTCACGGGGCGCCGTATGCTTTGGCTGAAGCATTGGCGCGCCGACGTCAAATCAAAGTGGCGTCTGTCATTGGCCCCATACCAAGGAGGCAAACTGTTTGGTGCGGCCCTAGAACCGTACCTTACTGAAAATAAAGACAAACGCAAGGTCCTCAACCACATTCTGAACAAGTCGGAGAAACGTAAAACCTTTTATCCCCGCAAACAGTCCTTTCGGCCTAACAACAGGTACACTTACACCCAGTCCTTCCAGCCTTTTCGCCCCTTTCCGGCCAGGCAGGATAGGCAGGACAGACAATACGACGGACAAACGGCTAAACCCAGGCAACAATTTCAGGGCAAGCGGCCCTTTCGGGGGACCGGCCGTCCATTCCGGCGCTCCAAGTGACTCCCTGACGGTTATTCCCATAGGGGGCAGACTATCTCTCTTTGCCCACCAATGGGAGGCTACCAGCACGGACTCATGGGTGCTCAACACCATACGCAACGGCCTCTATCTGGAGTTCATCTCCGATCCCCCGAATCACTTTGTCTCTTGCCCTTACCCTCGAAATCGAATAAAGAGGAAGTTGATGGGCGACGCCGTCCAACACCTTCTGGACATACAGGCCATAGAACCGGTTCCGGTGGACCAGAGAGGTCGGGGATTTTACTCCATCCTCTTTGTCATTCCCAAGACGTCGGGGGGATGGAGGGCCATCTTGGATCTCAAGGGTTTAAATTACCATCTTGTTTACCGCAAGTTCAAGATGCAGACGCTCCGATCCATCTTGGGAAGCGTAAGAAAAGGAGACTTCCTGACGTCCATCGATCTCACGGAAGCGTACCTTCATACCCCCATCTCTCTCGCCCACCGACGGTTTCTAAGGTTTGCTTACAAAGGTCAGCATTACCAATACAGGGCCCTACCTTTTGGCCTTTCATCGGCTCCCAGGGTGTTTACCAAGATCCTAGCGGTCCTGGCAGCTCACTTACGGATGGTTCCGGTCAGGGTCCAATGTTACTTGGACGACATCCTGATCCAGTCATCTTCCATCCAGTCCGCCAAGACGGATTTAGCACTGGTAGTGAGCGTGCTCCAGGACCATGGGTTCTCGGTAAACTTCCTCAAGAGTCACATGGTCCCCACAACAAACCTGTTACATCTGGGAGCCATAATAGACACTTTGCAATGCAAGGTGTACTTATCTCAGGAACGCCGGGACAACCTGAGGAATTCAGTCCTCCAGGTACGCAGGGGACGCACGGCGTCCTTGCTCACCCTTTCCAAATTATTGGGTCAAATGATATCGACCATAGCCATTGTCCCGTGGTCCAGACTCCACTCCAGGGAACTACAGCGGTTCCTGTTACCCTTTCAGAGGCAGAACCTCAGTGCCTCCAATCAAAGGGTGCGACTCCCTCCTCAGGTAGTGCGGTCCCTCGGATGGTGGCTGTCACCAGCCATCCTCAAGGGGTCACTGTTCAAAGAACCGGGCCGAACACTGCTGACGACCGACGCCAGCCTGTTTGGCTGGGGTGCGCACCTTCGATCGCAGTGGGCCCAGGGTCGTTGGTCCCAATCGGACCTTCGGCACGACATCAACTGGTTGGAGTTGCGGGCCATTCATTTAGCTCTCCGACATTTTCATGCTCTGGTAAGGAGGCGACACGTCCTTGTCCTCACGGACAACGTGACTGCCAAGGCTCATGTGAACAGGCAAGGGGGCACCCGTTCACGAGCTCTATTGACCGAGTCACTGCTGTTGGGATCCTGGGCAGAACACAACCTGGCTTCCATCAAGGCCGACCACATTTCGGGGAAGGAGAACACTCAAGCCGACAGGTTGAGCAGGACCACCATAGACCACTCGGAATGGCGTCTCCATCCGAGGGTGTTCAAGGAGGTTTGTCACCGTTTCGGCCACCCACTAGTGGATCTCTTCGCGTCT